GGAGGCTGAAGCAGGAGGACTGCTGCAGAGGGCAGCCTGGGCTACAAGGTGAGACCCTGTCTCAGCCAAAACCAAACGCACACAGAAACATCGATCACTTTTGTCTTCTTTATTCAGACCTACTGGACTGCAGCTCTCACCAGTCTATGTGAACAGATAAGAGGTCCTGGCCCAGGGGCACAACAAGGCCACTTCCCAAAACACCAGACAGCTGAGTCGTGCATCTCCCGTGCCCCACGCCTTCCCTTAAAAGCATCTGTGATCTTCTGGGGATAAATGAGTCAGAAGGATGGGAAGGGGAAGTTAGGACACGGGACCTCCGAACGATGTAGGGGAAATGGTGTAACTCCTACGTGCCAGAGGTCAGATATGTGGAGCTCGTCTTCTCCCAAATAGAAGATGAATTCTAAGTATTACAGGCGGCTAAGTTATTTAGAAACGTTGTAGGCAGTCAGACAGGGCTGGGCCTGAGAGGCCTGTGCAGGACACACGGGTGGCCCAAGGCGCAGACACGTTGGTGGAAGGTCCGGCTCAGGGGGAAAGGACCAAGTACACCCACTTACGCCGCCTGAACCAGCAGTGACTGATATTCTCAACAGGCACCCAGCACCTTGGTGGGGACCAAAACCTCCCGATCCCACCCCTTCCCAGAAAGTCCTTGGAAAGTCCAGGTGTGTGGTCACCCGGGCAACTCGCCTTGAATGAGGAGCAATCGTCTCCATTTTGGTTGAACCGGATCCTGTTTCCATGTATTGATACGCACAGAGCTGGCTAGGACCCTGATCCCTTCAATTGGCTTTTAAGCAATGCATATCGGTCTGGCTGAGGTGCTGACGTGTAGTCTTTGAAAAAGGCAGGCATGTTTCCCTGGACCCCGTGTTGTAGCTTCAAGGTAGAGGTTATGACTTCCTGGGGCTTGAAGGATTACACACCAGAGCTGAAACACTGACCCCGAAATGTTAGAGGCTACCTCAGTTGTGTGATTCAGATTACTCTTTCTGCATATCCTTCTCTCTGCATTTGCAGAGGTGATTTCTGGCCTCTTACCTAGCCCAGCTCACGGCACTCACCTACTTCCTGCCATTCTCACAGTCACTCATCCCCAAGCCACTCCCCTCTTCATGAATTAATAAAACCCAGGTTCAGCCCCAGGCGGAGGCCTTTGTTCCAGATAGCATCATCGTGGCTGGACCTAGGACCCCTGGGCTCCACATAACTACACACATGCCTTAGTGTCTTTATTCTCGCCATGGGTCGCACTAGAAGTGGTAGACTGGAACTGACTCGATAGAATTCCAGTAACTTTTCATGGGATTGCAAGTAGAAACTTCCTGGGCTGTGAGGAGCACCGGGAAGGGCTCTCTGTCCGGTGCACTTGCTCGTGACGGTTTCCCCATTTGGTCCCCGTTTAACCCATGCTCCTAAGCAGCTGTACTCTCATTGGATGAACAGTCTGGTCCCGCCTCACACCCCCTTGTGATTTCCCATTGGACCAACCTTACCTAAGCAACTGCTCTTGTAACCTTATTAGTTGATTACAGTTTTGTCCCACATTTTACTCCATAAAACTACCTTGAGAAGTGGGACCCCCTTCTGTCCCTCTTAGACAGAATCTTTCTTTCTCTCAATAAATACTTCCTTCCATAATCTCCACTGTTCCTAGAATTTACTCTTTGATTTTAGAGAACAGGAACTCGGAATATCAGACATCTAGCAGGTGGAGAGTTGTATTTCCCTTATGTTATTTGGGTTATTTAGAGGTCTGATATCATCCCTATATCATACAGCCTTTATCATAAGGAACAATGGAGGTTTAGAGCAGGAAATTTTAAGATTGGTGGGGTGACGCACACCTGTAATCCCAGCACTTTGGAGGCTGAGGCAGGAGGATCACCATGAGTTCGAGGCCAGCCTGAGTTACATAGTGAGAATGTGTCTCAAAAAAAAAAAAAAAAGAAATTTTACTGAAGGAGAGATGGGAGGGACCTAGAAAATGGATTTCCAATGAACCCACTTCTCAAAGGAAAGTTTTATAGAGCAAAATCATGAGGTGAGCACAACGTGGGAAAAAACTATGATCAACCAATCAGATTACAAGTACAGCTGCTTAGATAATGTTGATCCAATGGGGAAACAAGTCATGTAGCAAGTGTACATGGAAAGGCCAAGGACCTTTCTAGGAAGCGAGGAGTCAGGAGGTGCTGGCCACCACCTGGGTGACCGATGTCCTTCTAGACCTTACTGGGACAGGTGATGCCAGTTACAGGGCACTGCTGAGCCCGTGGGAGGCATGTAGGCCTGGTCATTCTGTTTTATCTTGAGGCCTTCAACGGATGCACCTCCGGCTGATATAGGGGAAAGGCTAGATATCAAGTACTCAGAGTTCCTGCTCCCAAAGTCAAAGGGTAAATTCTGAGGAACAACAGAGGTTAAGAGTAGAAAAATGTATCAGAGGAAAGGAATGGGGAACAGGAATAGCTCCTGAGAGATAGGAAGGGTGACAAAGGGGTTGCCAATGAGCCCACCCTCTGTAAAACTTCCAAGGTCCAGTTTTACTCTTCCAGGCAAAGGAGGAGAGGTCCAGATAGAGGAGGGAATCAAGCCTGAAAATGTCTGGGGTGTCATTGTGTCCCCAGCCTCTGCTGTTTCTTGTCAAAAAAATGACCCAAGGAGGCAGGTGTGGTGGCACATGCCTGTAATCCCAGCACTCAGGAGGCTGAGGCAGGAGGACCATTGCAAGTTTGAGGCCAGCCTGGGCTACAAAGTGAGCTCAAGCCCAGCCTGAACTGCACAGCAAGACCTTGCCTCAAAAAGACAAAAAACAAAAACAAAAACAAAAAAACTCACAGTCTTTTGTAACTCCTGCTCTTCAAGGCAAATCTAGGGCATCCTATTAAAAATCTGCTTGATGGGCCGGGGATGTAGCTCAGCGGCATAAGCGCTTGCCTGGCAAGCCTGAGGTTGTGAGTTATTCCT